TGAACGGTACTGTTATGTATATTGGATATATGTTAATAGTATCAAGGAAACAAAAAAATGCTTAATACGTTTACTTATACACAAACTTTATGTTTGAAGTAAAATATAAATCATTGTAAACATTGCTTGCAACTTTCATTCCATGCAATTCTGAGTTTTAATTAAAACTGAAATATTAAACAAGAAATGAACAGGAAAGATTGTTTTACTCAAAACATGAAAACAATAGAAGCCTTCAGGAAATCAGTAGCTAGTGTAAATAACGGTTACTTTTTTTTAATTATTGGTGTGTAAATAATTGTATAGGTGATGAAAATGTACTATATTTTATAAAAATAAGGTATCTGTTTATACACTAGGTATGTTGTAGGCTTATATTTTAGGTGATATAGCACAATTTTTTGTACAAATAAAGATAAAAGTGCAGAAGTTAATAGAATGTCTTAGACATTGATATAATGGTTTCCACTGGAATTCGTAGTGAGAGATACTAAACTGAATTAGATTATCTTCTTCTCTTAAATTAACACCCTTCTAGAGTAAGAAACACAATTTGCAATTAAAATGTGAATAAGGCTACATGTGAAATAAACGTTTTAGTTTCCTGTAAAGATACACAACATAGCAATAATTTTGTCAGTTGCAGATGTAGTTTTGTTGTATCAATTTTTTGTCATTATCTAAGAGCTTACAGAAATCTAATCCGTTTCTATTCTTAGGAATAAATGTACTATCAATGTGAGCAATAAGTACAATGACCTAAATTCTTTAAAAAAAAAAATGCACTGTCCAATTTGTTGTTGAATGTTCGAATAATGACTAATTTATTGTCATAATTTTTGCGGTTGAAACCATTGTTATTAATCAGTAAGAGCTAATTATAGACCAATTAAATACATATGCATTTGTTTCCCAATAAGAATAAGAATATTAGCAATCGGCTTAGGCAAGTTAATTTTCCCGCGATTGTTCTTATCCCCTGGCACGTTAGCTTTTTAAACTAAAAAGGAAATACAAGATCGAAAGATTAACGTTGAAGGCGTTCACTGATTTTAAATCAGTTGATACCAATTAAGCCGAAGCCCCAAAGAGAACAAAAAAGTGATGTTCTACTAGTGATTTTATGGGAAAAGGGAACTGTAAATTACCAGATTAGAACCTATTTCCTGTTTTCGAACTCGTTTTAGACAGGAGCGGCACGAGCCCTGATCCTGTGGTCGTAATAGAAGCTTCCAAATTTCGAGTCCTTTTTAATTAAATCCCAAACAAATCCAAAATACGTTCAGTAAGTGTTCAGAATTTGGAGTTGTATACACACATTATAAATACTTGATTTCCTTTACAAATCCAAAAAAATAAGTTTAGAGTTCACATTTTACAATTATTAGAAGTAGGGATTGGGCTTCATAAATGAGGGATGTATCGGAAGTTATGAAAGAACGTATTACCCTTATTTTGTATATTTTCTTTTATGTATACACATATATAAAACAGGCACCGCACAGCCTAAGCCACTGAAACATGAAATTTGGAGAATGTACTCCTTTGAGGCTGTAGAATTCCATTAAGAAAGGAATTTTCGAAAATCTACCCCAAAAGGATCCTCGTTTAAAATACACCACCGACTCTACGTTTTACTTTCTATAAAATGGCTAGTTATATAGACAAAGTAAAGAAAGATGGTTATTGTGTACACTGTCAACTTGTTTCAGTCATTCTACAGAATTCCAGATTACATCCACTGTTGGTGACAGACATACTTATCATTTTATTTTAAATACTGAATTGTTTCGATCTTTACATGATGAAAAACTATGTTTGAATACGAATTAAAAAGATTTTCTACATTTTTACGTAATAAAGGTATATAAGATTCTGTAAAAGGGTTAATTTTTGCTCTTCATTATAAGCCCCGACTGTTTGTAGTGCCTACTTGAATCCACACAAATAGCATATCAATACTAAATAGCTGTGGCGAAACATTTGTTGCGAAAAAAAAAGGTTGTGAAAGTTTTTAAGTACTTCTTTATACGTGTTTTATTTGGAATTTTCATTCTAATAAATTATTTTTTCCTAATATAAGATTCCGTAACTTATAAAATAGTCACTTCTATGCTCGCGAACGGTTAATTTATAAATTCGAAAAAGGGTTGTTAAAGGTGTATGTTTGGAGCGCAGCGCTGTACGGGTGCGAAACATGGACATGGACAATGGGCGCGGCGGAAACGAAAAGGTTAGAAGCGTTCAAAATATGGTGTTATAGGCGGATGATGAGGATATCGTGGGTAGAAAAGGTTATAAATGAAGAGGTATTGGAAAGAATAGGAGAACAAAGGACTCTATGGAAGTCAATAAAAAATAGACGAGATAGGTTGACACCTTCTCAGACATGAAGGTCTAGTCAGAGACATATTAGAGGCAGAAACAGGAGTTAGGAGGGGTAGAGGTAGACCTAGTTAAGGATGTGAGTTGTTCTAGTTTTAGGGAAATGCGAAGATTAGCTCAGGATAGGAAAGTGTGGAGGTACGTGTCCAACCAGTATTAGGTCTGGCGACCTTATGATGATGATAAAATAGACATAGGATACATTTTATGAGCTCGTCGAAAATTCGCACTTCAGCAGCAAAACATTTTTCAGAATTGACATTGATACTGAAACTACTTTAACTGGAATAGCTGGTACTAAAACTCGATCGATATCTTATTAATTTTTAAGGTACCCTTTTAACGATAAAATAAACTAAAGGCATATTGTTTCTCAATATGTCTCAATTTATTCGTTAACCTATTGCCCGTAATAGATATATCTAAAAAGTAGGCTTAGTTTACATATATGTATATATTTAAAATTTATTATGAGCGTATTTTGATACCCACTGAAATTAACATGTGGCGTTAAGGAGGATTTATTTTTAAAATTTCTCCCTGAATTGAAGAGAAATGAGTGATATAGTAGACATACAATGCACCTGAATAAATATCTTTTACTATAATTAGTTGCATTCTCTTGGTTTCACGGTGAACTTACCGAAACTTCATGTGTCAAAACTTCTAGATTAAAATTATTCAGTATTAAAGTTTCCTTATCATTATATTTTGTTTTTGTATTGTAACTTTAGTTTACTGAACTTTATTTCGATTTATTTTAAGTATTTCGAAGAAAATCGCTATAGTTTTAAAGAGAATTTATATTTATATTTCGAAAAAATATAGTAAAACGTCATGTGTATATTTAAAGTGATTTTGCAATCGTATGAGGGTATAAATAATTTCGCTTTTGATGCGAAAGTGTTGAAATAAGCTTTTCTAATGAATGTGACGTGCTACAAAATATAAACTTTTTAACACTGTTACTTACATAAGAGTATCTCACTGGAGTTCTATTTTCTATCTGGATCCGATAAATGAACCAATAAAAAGTTAAAACTTTGTGAAAATTGATTTCTAAGTAATACACTGTAAAAGCGTTGAAATGGATCCTAGGCTAAGAAACCTTTGAAACTGGATCTAGAGAAACTGGAGCTAGAAACTAGTCTATTTTTTTTCTAGTTTTGCTATTTTTGGACTGCACGTATCAGAAACTCTCCTCCCTTATCAGTGTTATTGAGAAAAATCGTGCAAAGAATTTTTTCAGTCCAAGATTCAAGCCCGCGTTTCTTGCAACGCTACTTGAGAACGCTGCCACTACGTCATTTATACTATATATACATATTCGTTTATTAAAACTAAATCTACATACATTCATGCATTCGATTGTATATATACATACACTGAGAATATGAAAAACGAAAATTTACCAAAATATTAAAGCGATATTTACAGTTTATCCCACTAGCCCGTTGCTTCGTAAACGATAATAATAAAAATTACAATTTGGATCCAAATTTGTAAAAATAAAATAAATTTACTAGGTATTTTAGTTGATATTACAAATCAAATTGTAATAATTAAGAAAATTCAAATAATTTTTATTGAAACATGTCAAAATTGATATTATTATAAGTTACCCAATAAATTCAACTTAGTTTTCTTCGTGTATATAGGCAGAAAAATCAAATGAAATTTAGAGAAGCGAAGAAAAACAGATGAAAATGTGGACAGAATCAAATCAACTTCAGCTTGACGGAGAAAATCAAGGAAAAAATCGGTCTAACTCCGAAGTAAAACAGATGAAATTATTACTTTTAGACATAAAATAGGTGAAATTATTCGATTTAGGATTCTTAAGATATAAAAGCATTAATTCCTATAGCGCAATTGTATAAATAAAATAATGGATTTACATAAATAATTAAAAATCTCTTAGGAAAAGAGTTCTAAAAAATATAATTTTAATCATTTACACTATCTATAATTCATTATGTATTTCATTTATATTCAATTGTGCTGCGTGAATGTTTCTACATCTTACGAATACTATACTATGAATCATTTTACATCTGACACCGTCTAGGAAAACCACTATTTACTCAAAAACATCCCTTGATAATATTGTTGCGCCAAAACGTGAAACTTTAAATTTGGTTTAAGAATTAAGGTATTTTTTACCCCTACGCTGGCTTTGGTTCTGCATTAATAACTCTAAAATGTCAAATCATGGAAGTACGTCCTGTACCAAATTAGTTCACGCTCACAAGCAATAGGTTTCATATATTGTAAGTACAAAAAGAAGAAATTGCACAGAAAATAATAATTCACTATCTTTTACATTTTTTATTTAAATTTTTTCACTTATATAAACAAAAGCTTTAGATAAACCAAAAAGTTGGTATAGTTTAGAATCTTTGAATTTAACAGCAACACGGAGAAAATGAAAAAGGAAATTTCACCTAAATATTAAAGCGATATCTACAATTTATNCCCGAAAAAATAAAAAATTTGCATTTTCTAAATATATTTATATATTTAGTTTATTCATAATGAAAATAGTAGAGAAAAAAATTAGAGTACCACAATTCCCAGCGACTTTAAAAGTCTTAAAAAGTAAGTGACCGACTCACCTTTGTACAGTTGTTACTAAAACATTGCTCTCGACAGGATTCAAGTAATATTGTATTTTAAGAGTTCTAAAACACAATTTCGTCGACATTCAATAGAAAAAGGATAACTCAAATTCTACTACACTACATATAGCACAACTTGGATCAACCAAAGTACGTGATCTCGAATAAATGATTATTTAAGTGCGCATTTTTTATGTATGTACAAAGTGCTTATCCTGTACCGAATCATCACCGACTAAAACAGCAGCATGTTCGGTGGACAACTGTTGAGTTACCTACCGTAAACGAAAAAGGAGATGTCCTGTCTCGTTCGTGATCATACTTCGCATGCCTTCGCGCAAACTCCAAGGATAACAATTATTTAATAAAAAAAAAAGAGAGAGAACTCAAATTATTTCAATAATAACATATATCCTTCGCTTTATTCATATTCTTATACATTATCCTGGTTACAAAATGTGTATATCCTGGCAGGAAATGTAAAGAAAACACGTTTTGCTCATTTTCTTTTACTTCATGTAATCGAATGTATTTTCTGTAACTTGGCGTCTTCAAATTCAAGGAATTTATTAAAAAAATATTGAATAATTAGGCATTTACAACTTACACGTAATGCTTCTATTTCCTTGAATCCACCAAGTTTGTTATCTTTCAATTTAACTTCGGTATTTGCTTGGAATATTAAAGAAAATGACATTAAAACATTTCTTCTTAATGCAATAAGGAATAATATAAATTTTTATCAAACGAAAAATCAACTCAACTTTAAAAATATTAAATCAAAAATGAATAAAACATTTTACCGAATATTAAATCTCCGTATAAAAAAGAAGCCCTAAAGTTAAAAAGGATATTTACCAACGAAATGAGAAATACCTCTTGTATAATAAAGTCCTTATTGGCAGCTATTTATCGCAATTTATGGATTACAAACAGATTCTTTTACGATCGGCTTAATTCATCAAACCAGATTATCCATGGTGATATTTCATTCTTTCTAAAATTTTACGCAAATACATTTTGAACTGAAACTGGAAAAGGAAATTTTATTTATTTTCTAACGCATATTCGAGCGGTCCAATGTGTGTGGAGAGAAACAGGAGAAAACCCTTTTCAAAAATCAATACTTAAGTGAATTAATTTATAAGAATAAAACACAAAGGAATTTGCTCAAATTATTAGTAATAACTTTGATAGGGTGTTTTATTATTAAATAAAACTGCGTTTTCTTCCTATTTCAGTGTTTCACTTATGCGTATAGAGTTCAAATTTTAAGAGGTTCAATACGTTATAACAATTGAAGTTTATCAACAGCAATTCATCGAAACTTATTAGATCTCATCAGCACGCCATAAGGCTCATACTGTTTAATGTGCGTGCGTATATAAACCGTGCCGTCAACCCCTTTGGACAAGTAAATATCCCAGGAGGGCCTGATCTAACAAATACTTCAGCCAACAACAAATACCAGTAGATGGCGATATACTACAATAACCAGATATTATAAAAACTTGCTTTTAATGGGCTCGCATGGTGTGCTAATGAGAAGTAATAAGACATAATAAGATCGAAAGCGCGTTTTCCGTCGGCCAAATGAAAAACAATACTTAGGTACTGATTTTCAGTAAACCAACGTTTAGCCCGTAGGTTATGAATTTCTTGAAGGTAATTAAAATGTTAATAAACATTAAGACTTACAAGCAACCTTCTCACTTATATACTGACAATTGTAAAGATAAATCCAAAATATTTAAACTATACCTCTTTCAGCTACAGAGAGAATTGTAGAATTAATTTATTTTGGTATAAAAAAATAATACATGAACACGAAAAGAAATAATTGATCCGATATACTCAGTAGGTACTAAAATAGTTATTTGATTATTCTCTGAATAAATTCATTCCGCATAACAGGAAAATGCAAAATATAAACAATGCAGTAACTGATTCGAACCGTTTCAGTAACAATTGTGGATGGATTTAAAGGAAGAAACATCGGAACGTTTTCCACTTCGTTGGTTAGTAAAATGAACAGCATAATTGTCTTTTTATTGTACAAATTGCCGTAACTTTGGCAGTTTTCCCAAAACCTTTGTCTGCTTGTTTGGCGTTAATCACATGAAGTTAATATTGTTCTTTAATTGTTCGCTTTAACTGAGCTCTGGATTCGTCAGTCGGCAACGGCAACCTAATTTCATTGCTATTCCATTTAAATGCTGGAGTTTAGAGTCGTAGTAAGTTCGAATTCTCCTTGCGTGTGAAATAGCACTCGTCCGAGTCAGGAACAATAAAAAGGTCCTTATGCTTTCTCTCTTACGTGAACCTATTAAACGAATTAGAATTAATATTGGTGCGTTGCGTGCTTAGCATTTGATGTTTCTATTACTTTATATTTCCAGGTCATTCCGTTAGAAGATTAAATTTAAAGAAACAGAACTAACTTATCACCAATTCATAATCTTTCCCAAAGTGTCCACTTACTTATTAGGCTTCCTGAATTAATCAAGCTTTCAAAATAATATTAGGTATCTACTATTATCTGCCTTAATGCAATTACCTATTCGGATATTCTAAAGAGAATAATTAACACGAAAACCTTGTTGTTAAGTGTTAGATTTACCATCAAGACTGCTGAACTGTTTTCTTTATCTATTGTATAAACAAAACCCTATTACCCAGAACGTTGGACCCTCATTAAGTACTCCTCAGTTAGAGACAGTGAATCGCTGACTAAGAGTATCACACCTAGAATTTCGTTATCTTTCGAATGACACCTCACCCGACTGTTTCTAAGATTTTTAAATTTTTGTTTCTTTTTCCACCCCTTTATAATGCGGTGTTCGCAAAATCGACTCTTGCAATATATAATGGTCAGAATATGTGGTCAAAATCTTAGTCAAGTGGTAAATATTAATTATTTCCAAGTAAATTGATCGATCGATAAATTGGAAACATTCAGCAAATCAAAAGTCCTTGGTGGATCGCCATTTTGATCTCATTGGATAACACCAGCACGCGGTAAACAGTTTCGACAGAACACAGACCAACCTACCCACTCCCATTGAATATATCTATCGACACTGTTTATAGTGGCAACGGGTAGACTCGTCCCTGTTCTGTCGAAACTGTTCACGGCGTGCTGATGAGATCCAATGAGATCGCAATCGTGATGCACGTCTGATAGGGACAACTATGGACTTCCTTATCGCACTTTACGGCGGCAAGGAGATAATCAGCATAAATCAGCGTTGCCACACGCGAATTTCTCTTTATTACCTTGTATTTTTTAGCAAATTTTCCTTATATTCCCTGGAAATTCGATGAATATATCCATTAGGAGTCATTTTAAAAAACTTCGGAAGCTAATATGTTGCCAAAATTGACATTTCGAAATATTTATTTTGTCGAATAGCGTAAGAAACTTCGTTTCTACCGGGTGTACCACGACGTCACGCAGCTTGTTTCGCTTCACGTAGTAGCTACGGCGTGAATTCAGCTCGACAAGTCGATATCCTTACTAAAAAAGGACCTCGTCGAACATTATCGAATCCCACAATAAGTAGCAATTTTCTGCAGATGGCGTTGACACTCTCTCAGTACTTATTTATTCAGCAAACGTTGACAAGAAACTAAAAATAAGTAAATGAAGCAGAAAAAAGAAAGCATTTTCATACGAACGTGATTTGCTTATTGGATCATAACATAAATTGCAGTCCTGCCTTTCGTAAGATAAAGACCAGAGCATAACGACTGAGACACTTGCGATAGCACCAGTAACATCAAATATTACGCATATATTTAGAAAATTGAACCCCCATTTTTTATCCGGGGATTTTACGAGCACATCATCGTTACATTAAATTATATTCGATAGGAAATTTCATGGAAAACTCAAAAATTTCCCGTTAATATGATTTTTGTAGGTCGCCTGAGATCTCCAAGTTTAAATTTATCTGCAAACATTTTGATTTCCTGACCATACCTTTGTTTTTCTTTTATTTTGAAAAATAGAAACTCTTTTCTTTTACACATTATTAAACACAGATATTTGTACACGTACAATATTGTTATTGCGAGGAAGATAAATAATGTAATGAAAGGTTTTATTTATTTCCGATATTTGTATTGCGCATAGTAATGTTCCCCGGTATCAAATTCAAATTGTATTCCCTGGAATCAAAGAAAAATGCAGAATTCATTCTACGGCACTTTGCGATGCGACGGAACCCTACAAATTGAACACAAAACAGTTCAAAATAAAATAAAATAACTACAATATTAAAAGAAAAAATGTGAAACAATAAGGAAAGAAATAAAATGAATGGGAACAGCAGCAAATGACGTAGAAGTAACGAAAGTTGCACTCAGAAACAGCAAAAATTGGTTTCCACAAGAATTTTTATTTCCAGTGAAATAACAAATAAGATATAGATACTTTCATTTTTCTTTAGAACGATGGTGACCAGGGATAGTTTACAAAAGAGATGTATAATTTCAATATTAGCAGATGTAATCGATTATTTTCTAAATGTAACTGAGGCATCAGCTGTTTAAGATTGTATACTACAATTTTCTCATCATACGTTTACCGCCAAAACGGGCTTTCCACTAAAATAGCGAATAATAAAAATTTGTAACCATTCTGCTGCAAGTCGTAAGTAATTTACAACACTTGCTTACTTGCTAGATTTTATATGAAATTTTTATATGACATTGAAGACGTTCGGAAAACAGCTTTACCAACCTTTAATATAATGTCATTTCCTTTGACGATATTTGTACTACAATTTTGCAATGCAAAGAATAGAAATATTGAAAATGATGTTAATGAAAGTATCTCCATTTGAAACTTGTTTATTTTTATTAGCTACAAGGATTCCGACTTTTTTACTTCTACTATTTTGAACATGTTCCCATTTCTAATTATGTAGGTCAGAATAGATCAATAAATATACTTTATGGGAGACTTATTAACATTTATGATAAAAAGTTCCTTAATTGTTCTCATTTCATATACCTACCTAGCATTAACGTAGTATCTAGTATTAAATTAATTTTCATACTTCTACTAAGACTACTCCTATGCTTTAAGGTTTAAGGACAATGCTCAATTTCAAAACTACTTCGTTGTGTGAATAATTAACACGAAAACCTTGTTGTTAAGTGTTAGATTTACCATCAAGACTGCTGAACTGTTTTCTTTATCTATTGTATAAACAAAACCCTATTACCCAAAACGTTGGACCCTCATTAAGTACTCCTCAGTTAGAGACAGTGAATCGCTGACTAAGAGTATCACACCTAGAATTTCGNTAAAATCAATTCTTAGCTGCTTTTGATTTTGAATTTTTAAAAACATCATGGAAAGATATAGCAATTACTTAAGGAAATAATATAACTTAAAATTATTTTTGTTTCAGAGTTTAAGAAAATGTATGGTCATCAACTTAAAACTAGACTAAGAAAATGAGAAATGGAATGTTACATTAAAAGGTTAGTTATTTACTATTTTTCCTTGTTTGTGTTACTAATTGTACCATTCAATGATTCAGAAAATAAGAGCAAATATAATAAGCTTTTAAGGGAGGAAATGGGTTTGTTCATCATAAAAGACAAAAAAGGACACACCTGGACAATTTAAAATATTTATTTTGAAAAATTCAACCAGAACATATTCCAAACTATGATAATAATCAGTACGTTCGAAGGTATAAAGTTACTATATTTTTGTTGACACGAACGATTTTAAACACAATAGATATAACATTTTGTTTTTCGTGTGCTATAAATAACTGGTTTAATACTGTTTTAAAAATTACCACGATCTGCTAAAAAGCAATTTCTTTTTTTATTGCCTGAGAAAAGTACATATAGACAATAGATTAATGTAAGAAATTTTAACTAGCCTAAAATGTCAAAAATTTGCTAATAGTGCTTACGTATGTACATTATAGGAATACTCGGTGTGTTGTTTCTAACTTAACTAGTTAGTTAAAATACAAAAATTGTTACTGTACCAATCTATATATGTATGTACAAGAGAAATAACACACATTTGAAATACACACATTTACCATTTGGTTATACTTATAGTTGGTATGTACAAATATTTTCCGTTTCAATGAATATTTTTCCGTTCATATGTACAGGATCTTAGTGAACATCCAAAATGTCCTTTCCTAATACGAATAACAATTTAACATAATATTTTACACGAAGAGAACAAATATTAAGAAACACTTGGCAATTGCTTCTCGTTTTAAAATTTTAAAAAAACACTTTCAAAATACTCAATACTCAATAATAATACTATTTTAATCTAAAAATAAACCTTCTGGAAGATATTCGCGCATTTAAAAACCAAGTAGGTAGTACCTATCAAGATGAAAATGTAATTATTATTAATCAATCGATAAAAACTGGAAATAATAAAATTATTACTCATTTAAAATAGTTTTAAGCAATTTCGTATTATTAAATTTTGGGGACATACAGGATAACGTATCTATAAGGAATGCGGGGCACACAAACGACTGCGGATTTTACACATTACAATAAGTGATTCAGCCAGAAATGCCTTATTATTAAAATATTGATCGTTAAAGAGACATAGGGCAATGTTAAACCTAATAAATTTGCATTTATTCAAAAAATTTCAAAATATATGCACCAGCGGCTAAATCCATCCAATTTTTTGCGCTTCAATATTATCAAACTCTGCATGGCATTAAGAAAAAAGTGTGAATTTACATTCTATGCAGCAATTAAACAAATAAATGGCAACAATTAAAAACCATCTAAACAAATAATGATAATAAAATTTATTTATTTTCCAATTTCGCACCCTTAACTCTTCTATAACTAATATTTTATTAACAATGAGGTATCTATGGTTGAATTATCTTATTTTGATGTTAGAGTATGAAATTCCCCCGTCTACCATTATTCATTTATGAATCAACCCGTAAGAGCCGCTCATTATATAAGTAAATCGTTTTGTTTTTCGCTTTTATATCACTTATAACCACGGTAAACACGAATTTAATAGACAAGTATCTTCATTGTGTATAAACGGTAAGCTGTATCTTCCGTTTCTGCGTCACTGTGGTCTGGGTGGCGGTTGAGGGGGGTTACTTCGACTAGGTATAGGGGGAGGTCTTAAAGGTCGTGTACCGGGTGGAGGAGCAGGGGGTTGAACTCCCGCTGGAAGTTCAGGGGGTGGATAAGAAGGGGGACCACCCGTTGGTGTCACGGTACCTGGTTCAGGTATCTCAGCTGGCTTAAGTTCAAGCATTTGCTTTTTAGTGTTATCCATCGATTGTTCAGAATACATTTTTGTTGGTTGAGGACTTGAACACTGGCCACTTTTCGTTGGTGACTCTATACTTTGAGAAAACCTGCAATAGTATATTTAGCGTTTTGAATTTTAAATTTTTTGATAAAGTAGTTTTAAAATTGTGATAAATACAATAACACATAAAAATACCTATATTTTTGTACGTCTCGCTGTAGACTCGCGAGGTCATTCAGTCAGGGAACCCTCGGAGAAAAACATAAAAATGACAGCGGATATTTTATGTAGATAAAATTATGTTAAATGTCGTCGCGTAAACTCGAAACCCGTCACCCGTTAATTATTTGTTGTTATGAAATTTTGAGTGAACTGTAGGTGAATACCGACTTGAAAACTCGAAATTTTGATTAATTTTGTAACCGGATAATTTTGATTTGGGCCCAGCGATACAAGCGAGTATAAAAGAAAGGATTTGTTTAAAACTAGAGGGCCCACATGGAAATTAGAACAACGAGCCACAACATTTTTGTCGCTGGGTCTATTTTGGATCATACTACGTATTCAATAATCCTAATACCTCGTTGTTCTCTCTTGATTCTCTACCATTGATTCTTGACGACTAACTTCTTGAGGTTTTGAGATTGACGGTTGTTCTTTGACCTCTTCTTTCGATGGGTCAGGTGCAGGTTGCGTTATAGTGGTTGTCGGTATAGATGCTGTAGTTGCAGTAGCTGTATTTACTGAAGACGTTATCAATGTTGATGATTGACCGACGGATTTGCTATGCTGTAGCCGCTTTTCTGACCCGGCAGCCACGTAAGAAAAGACGCATAGGACTGCGTAACATATCTGATCCGCCTTTAAATCAATGGAAAAGTAAATGGGAAAATGGTTCATTCTAGTGAAGAGAAATATTCAAACTTCTTTTTAAAACCAAATCAGGTTTTCGGTATGTGGTATTTCTACAATGTGCTTTTATTCCTGATAGTATTGGATGACCGTAAAAGCATACTGAAGAGTGATTTATTTTTCAATACAATGTGAACATTAAATCGCTCAGATTTTTCCATTAGTGCAATAGCCAATTTTTATTTGTAGAAATGAGGAGGTATTAGAAAGGGTAGGAGAACAGAGGGCGTTCCGGAAGTCAATAAGAACTAGACTAGAAACATTGATAGGATAGGATTCTTTATCAGGCATTAAGAACTAGTTACAGACATATTAGAAACAGGAGTCAAAAGAGGCGGAGAAAGATTTCTATAAATTGGATTACTGTTGACAAATAGTTAGAGATAGGTATATTTCGCTGTAGCTTTCTCAAGTTTTCGTCTTGATAATAGTAATGAGTTATTATTACAGGATTAATTATGGAATTTCGGTAATTATTGATAGGCTAAATTGTTGCATCAATTAAATGTCAAAAGTCAATTAAATAACAAAATAAATCGCAACACCTAAAATACAACATTAAGGATACTACACATTTACAATATATCTAAAGCTTTTAAGACATACTGTGAAATAATAGGTAGCAACTTACAAGCTTAATTTATATTTAATAAATAGGTATATTTCTGCTTTCAAACGCAAATTTTATAAAAATATATATAGGTACTTTACTAAATTTCCAAAAATGTTACTTTTACGTATGAAAAAATCAAAAGAAAAATTGTCAGTATCTACATCTTCTGTAATCCTGCATAAAATTAAAGTTACTGTTAAAAAGGAAGATAAACTCAAAAATAAGTACACTTGTATTGTTTTCAAAGTTACTGCAAACTGCTCGCCCCCTCTCTCCCATTTTTCTTGTGTATCGAATTTACTCCACATAACTCTAAAATTTTACCAGTAAATTTTTAAAAATGAACATGCAGTTTTTGTACGAATATAAATCGTTGGATGCTTAATAATAGAGAGAGATAAAAAAGGAAAACTAAAATTATATTCTTACACGGTAAGAACAAATCATGCAGGCAGTGAGGGATTGTCATCATTAACACCATATAATTCTGAAAGCCTCTGTGTCATGCATATGGAAAATATTCGATGAATAGATAGAAGCATATCATTTGCCTATAACGAGAAACAAAAAATTGCTCTACAACATCAACAGAAACAAAAAAAGGTACAACTACATTAACCAATCCCATACAAACTTACCATCGAAGATTTGTATTTTCTCTGTATTACTTGTCTTGTCTTTGGATCTGCAACATTTCAGGTAAAACATCAAAATGAGGATAATTATTTAGAAGCAAAATATAGGGGAGAGAACGGTGTGTAATCGTGACAAGACTACATCTCTTTCATCTAATAGGACATAAGCACGTATCCATAATATGTATAAGATATTTTTTTTGTGTTGGACAATTAAGAACTCTCTATCTTACTGGAATTTAGTGAAATGTTTGATGTGGTTACNTAATAAGAATGGAAAAACTAAAACCTACCAAATACTACAGTAAAAGAGAAGGTATAAAATACATTACCTGTAACGTTTCTACTTCAGTATCAGAAACTGTTGACCTGTAAGAAGATTGAAATCCGCCCCGGTTTAAATTGCAAGCAGGACCGGTCGTTATTGATCCACCAGGAGATAATGTACCCCCAGATCCATGCATGGTATTTTCAGCCTGTTCGATACAAATCAGTTAGCTAGACATATTCACATCATACCGATGATAGTCTACAACTCCAAGTAAGGCCAATACATCGAATTTTATTTACAACAAAACATATGTATTTCGATGGACGATCAAACTCAATTTTCCTTATCACGACTGACTGAATATGCCTAAGGACTAACTAATCTTAAGCTTGCACAAATACATTGTTTCACTATTTCTTCATTAAACTAACAAACGACTAAAAACTTACTGAATTCTTCAAGAACAAAAATTCCTCCCTTTTGAGTGAAACATTTTCTGATGTGGTCGATTCTTACAAAGAACTGCAAAAGATACGTTAAAGTATCAGAGAGGCGTTATTATTAGGGTTAGAAAGAAGCAGTTCGTGCAAGCGTGAAGCTACAGGCAACTTTAGAGATGGTTTGACCAATGTTGATGACCTATTCTAAATGTACTTCGTGTGTTTTGTTGAGTGCAGATATATATATATATAAATAAATATATATATATGGATATAATATTGTATAATATCATCGGCCATGCGGTGTGTCGCTATATAGGCAGCACTACACTATAACTACGCGAACACCAGTCCAAGGACTCTCTGTGACCGTTTCCCGAATTTGGTATGCATCATCAGTCTTTCGAAAATAAAAATGCAAAGGACTTTCGAATATTGCAGGGGTAGCGGTGTTTGGACAATAGGAAGGAGTAAACGACTTGTACAGCAAAAACTGAAAAGATCTACAAGAAGCGTCAAACTAAACAGAAACTAGTACTAAAACTAACGGTCAGATTAGATGAAAGTATATATATATACCTCAAAATCCTGTAAAGCAGCCAACGACCGATGGCGACAATCACGGTAGGAGCAACAACAAAAGACAGACATTAGTGAATTAAATTATTTTCCCGGACAAGGACCATCTCAAAAGTTCCTCAGCTTCCCAGCGAGAGCATCATCAGAAATAAATTATAAAAAAAAATTTGCGGTCGCTCGTTGGTTTCGTTATGTTTTCTGAATATGCTCCGCCTTATCAACATAACCACTCATATAGAACATCGAAAAGTAAGAAAAGCATTCAACATCCATAGTTAAAAGGTACAACAAATTTAGCACAAACAGCTGCATGCATTAGCATACGTGTATAATAATTATAATCCTAGTAATAGTAGATTTAAATGAAAAATGAAAAATTATAAGAAAATGTTAACACTACTACCTGGCATCCCGTGTTGCTCTAACGGCGGCATTTCAATAAGTATCTCTTATGCACAAACACCAAAACAAAAATTAAGAAATAATAAAGTTTGAGTAAAAAATCGAAGTTTCATAACCGTAAAAGAGTGGTATGAGTATTGGAAAATTTGAGTGGTCCTTGCAGAAACCAATGCACAGTTCACAGCGCACCCGACACATGGAGCAATTGAAGAAACAAAAATAACAACAATAATAATAATAAATATTAAAAATAATTTACATCAAGACATCAACACTATATTCTTATTATAAAATGTATATGTACACTAAATCAAGAAAGCCTTTCTCATCTTAATTCTGTATTATTTTTAAAAGCTTTAATAAAAAGAATATAGAAAAAAGGAACATTACCCTTCAAAAATCGAATAAAGTAAATATCGTTACCTTACTGTTTGCGAAGAGCAAACCCACCCCTTCCATACAAACTTGAAGTAAGCCGCCCTCTCCGGTGCTCATGTCTTGCACTGGAAATTCGCCCCCTAGTTCTGGAGCTTTTCCTGCCACTCCTCCTCTTTCCATGGCCTCCTTTATGCAGTAGTACAGTTCCTTGCACTAATACAAAACATAATGGAGAAAATGCCAGAAACAATCGGTTTAAATTATTTTCCTACCTTCTTGGTGTAGTACTTGTGCAGCTGGGTTTGCTGACCGGATCTTCTCCACAAACATAACACTTTATTTTTTGGACTGTAGGTCATGTTCACCAATCGTTCGTACCACCATCTTTCTATGATAACCCCTGAGACTGATCGTAGAACTAAACCATCATCCCTGACTTCCATAAATCTCAATTCTCCTTCTCCATTAACCCCTTGATGGACAGTAAAGCTTTGACGATGTAGCAATCTGGATAGGGAAGGCTTTAAATCGATGTCATTTCCATTCTGAAATTAATAGATATATGTCCAATTATTTTGTCCAAAAATTATTAAATAGTAAATGATTATACCAAATGTTCTATTTGGTCGAGTAGTTGATTCACTTCTTGACTGTAAACGAGACCTATGTGACATTTTCCTAAGAGCCTTCTGATTTTCTTCTTTATCTCAGCTTTGTTACATTTTAACATAACTAAAACGGCGGTAAGATTGTAAAGCATTGTGGACAACAGTCTGTCTTCTTCATGTTCCAGTCTTTTCCTTTCAGTCTCACTTAGACTTTTGTACCGCTCCATCATTTCACGTGGCCCCTATGAATATTCCACTTGAATATGCATTTTTGTTTAGAGGTACTCGATCATACCTGATCCATTCCGATCATGTCCCTTTCCTGCGATACTGCATCAAGAAAGGCGTCCTCCCAAAACTGCATTTGATCCCACAAGGATGAACGTTCCTTCCCGATAAGGCCTTCAAAAAGGTACGTCCTTGCAACTTCAGGTGAGGGTGAGGTCAACGTGTTAACCATATGTCCACCGTGGTATCTAAACCCAGTACTCAGCGATGATTTGCTTGACCAAACGCTAGCTGTACGTTGCTTCGTTGGTTTTGGGAACTAAAGCAACGTTTTATAATAAGAATGGAAAAACTAAAACCTACCAAATACTACAGTAAAAGAGAAGGTATAAAATACATTACCTGTAACGTTTCTACTTCAGTATCAGAAACTGTTGACCTGTAAGAAGATTGAAATCCGCCCCGGTTTAAATTGCAAGCAGGACCGGTCGTTATTGATCCACCAGGAGATAATGTACCCCCAGATCCATGCATGGTATTTTCAGCCTGTTCGATACAAATCAGTTAGCTAGACATATTCACATCATACCGATGATAGTCTACAACTCCAAGTAAGGCCAATACATCGAATTTTATTTACAACAAAACATATGTATTTCGATGGACGATCAAACTCAATTTTCCTTATCACGACTGACTGAATATGCCTAAGGACTAACTAATCTTAAGCTTGCACAAATACATTCACATGCGTATCATTTGCTTTTCACAATTATAAAAAGAGAATACATTAAATAAAAATTAATAAAGAGAATTTCGGAGCTTACATCGGAATCAAAAGACGTCAATTTGCTCAATAACAGATTTTTCTTCTGATTGAGCATGTCCTTAAATATTTCCGCAGTTGACTGTTGTTGCTCAACATCAGCTTCGTCACTCTGTGGAAGTCTGACTTGTGGAGGTTCTGCAAAACAACAACGTTTTATTTTTCTTCTTATTTAAATTACAACGGTTCAAATGGAAACGGACCAGCGTGAGAAGATTTTCTAGAACTATCCCAGTCGGGTGACATGGAGTTTCGTGGACTTTGAGGAGAAGAAAGGTTTTCTTTACTACCCCTTGGACTGGAACCTTGAGAGGACAACAAATGGCTAGGATTATCACTATACAAGGAGTCCGACAAGTCTTTGCTCCAGTAATGAGTATGCGCTATTTCTTGCAACTGGAAGGCTGATGCCATTCCGCCCAATCCAAAGTTACTGTACGTATATTCCAGTCCGTGAACTGAGGCGAGCAGCACTTTTAGCATTCCCTTCCAGACGGATTTGGAAACGCACTAAAAATTGATTGATGATAATATTTGAAGTGTTTAAGAGAAGCAACAAGCAAGTGCAACATACTACATCGTCTATGTGATCATCAGGAGCAATTCTTCTCTCTAAAGTTTTGTTCAATTTGCTCAATACAAAGTTACGATAAGACTCGTCTTCCATCAGTTTCTTTAATCGATTTAATTTCAACCATCCAACGCCTTCTCCTTCTAGGACTTGGTTAACAACCTGAAAGAGGTACAATAAATTGAAAAACCGTGGCTCGCCCATGTTGAGAAACCAACCTCTTTCAGGAAAGTTTGGTTTTCGATATTTGTCGTTGATCTTTCAACCGACTGAATTCTCTGAAAATCGTCTTGCCTTCTTGGTGTGTGTTTAATTAATGGGCTCTTTTCAACCAGGCCTTTGGGTCCGCGAGGGAAAGGTCCAAATATACCACTTTTGGTATCTTTTGTGATTTTTTGCTGTTGCGACGTCTGACTATGCTGTTGCTGTTGTTGTTGTTGTTGTTGTTGAGCTTGAGCTCTACTTGTAGACTTGTTACTGCCAAACAGATCGGAAAACATACTTGACGTTGTTTGAGCAATATCGGTAAGGTCGGAGCTAATATTGGAAAAGAAATCTCTACTTGTTCCAGCTATTAATCCGGTACTAGCATGGACCAATGAATTACTCGATCCCCTACGAGAATCTGAACCACTTTGTGATCCCGAATCAGTCTAAAAGTATTATGAATATATTTGGTTAAGAATATTGTAAATTGCTAAAGGATTGTTACCCTTTTAAGAGCCTTTTTGGAAACTTCTCTTGCGCCTTTTGTCAAATCGCCTAGAGTTGATTTTCCCACGTAAGTTAAATCTTCAAATGTTGTTTTACTGGCATCAGCAGCACTTTTACTGGCTTCTATTGCCGTTTTGCCAGCTTCTTGGACACTTTTTGTAGCCTCTTCTGCAGCCTTTTTGGCATGACTGGCCAACTAGGAAACAGTTTATTATTAATAAAATAAAATTATTATTCCCGTACGCAATATTTACTTACCTTGTCAAATGGAGCAAATAAGCTGCTCTCCTCAGCTTCCGACAGCTTACCACGAGCTTGTGTTTTGAACTAAAATATTTTGTAATAATTTCTAATAATAATTTTAGGGCGGCTCTAATTACGAACCTTGTCCATTTGTGCAAGAATTCCGTCTTGGCTACTTTGTCGTGTAGTTTCCAGCATGAGCTCTTTGGCTTGAGAAGCGAATTGCTCAAACAGCGAACCTTGACTGCTTTGTCTCTGAACTTTATCAACACTTCCACCAGATGATAGAGCGGGACTTCCGCTACCTGATGATCCAAAGCTTGAAGTTCTTGCAAGGACATTTCCGATACTAGGTTGTTTTTGTAAAGTTGGCGTAATAGGTGGAACCTGAAGAGAATTATCATTTGTAATAATAAACACAAAGGGACATAATCTCAATTTATTCCTACGTATCGAGATTTTCGTGATATGGGCGATTTTTCTGTAGATTCGCTTGTGGTACTTGATGATGATCCAGGTTTGGCAGCTCCACCACTGATAACTGTTCTGGGGGTGGCCGTTGAATTGGAATCAGATTCGTTTTCAATTGATCCAACCTCTTCCTTTTCCTAAAAAGATTCACATTATAAAACTGATATAGTTTATGAAGGATAGTACTTATTTACCTCTTTAGCAGTGGGGATATCGTTTTTACGGCGTTGATCCATTTCTGATTCTGAATCTCTATTGAAAGATGGCGAACTTAGATCAGACTGACTGCTTGATGTTGATTGAGGAGAACTTGGTCTGCTCGACTTTTCCGGAACGAAATTCTCAGGATATCTTAACTCAGAAGGAGGATTATAAACCGATTGAGGGTCAAGATTAGATGATAGAGTCATTTTTTGAGCAGCCGAATGTTTGGCTTCATAATTTGAGGCACCTGTAAGAGCAAAATTGGCATATTTAGCTGTATACTGTTTTTATTGTACACTAGTGGTTTCTGACCTGGAGAAATGTCACTTGAAACCATTTCTGACATAAAATCGCTCAATGAAGAAAAGCTGGAACTAGTACTTTCGGCTCCTTCAGAATCCGAACCGCTTTCGTCAGTTGGTTGACTCTCTTGATTCTGCATACATTTTAGAGCACTATTGAGAGAACTTCCTTCATCCCATACAACAAATTTGATGGTCTCTAACGTCTGAATGTACCATTTAGGTTTGTCACCGATTTGAGACGGATCTAGTACACCAGTCTGAACTCTTTGGAATGCAACATTACTTGGTGTTAACGACCATTCGGCAAAAAATTCGACTGCTTGAGTTCTGGCAAAACGATTGATGAATTGAGAACTCCTAGGTCTTGATCTTAGGAAGCTGTTTATTTGAAAGGCGACCACAGGCCTTGGGTAAAGCCTCAGTGTTCTGGTATGTTCCGTAAAATTGGCCAAGAGATTTTGAGAATTGAAAAAGCGCACCTATGATAATGATAAGTAATCTCTGTAAAACATATTAGGGTAATGGACGTACCATAGCAACCCTTGTTGCCACATCGACCGAGTCTACATCGTTCCCATAAATGATGGGGTTAAACGGAATTGGGGAGACTGGCGAAACAGCGTTGCTCCGTTGTTGTGGGGTTGCAGGTTGAGAAAATGGTGATGGAAGACTTTTGAACGGTTTGTTTCGCATAATGGGACTTGTTTCTGGGGATTTACTTTTACTCATTGATACACTGGATAAAAGAAAAGTATGTATCGATTTGTAATTACAGGTGAAAAGTCGTTTCGAACCAGCTACTTTTTATAAATACTTTACCTTAAAGTGTTACCAACAGGTTGTACCTCACGATTTACAGGTAAAGACTGGAATGTTGGCGAAGTTGTAGCAGTGAGGCCACTCAAAGCCTGTAAAAAATATTTTTGATGCAAAAATGAGACAGAAAACTTATTCTAAGAGCCTAATTAAGCCATTAGTAGTATTTGGGTAATAAAGTATCATAATTACTTACCCAGCTGGGAGCTAGGTATATAAAAAGCTAATAAAACTTAGTAAAAGAAAAGGGATCATGAACAACTGGAAAATCTACGTAAACACTGTTTTATAAATTAATTATTATACATCAGCCTTAAATGCTTTTCATGTTTTATTTTTTAATTTGAAACGTAAGCTCTACAAGAGGATACAAATGCCTATTATAGCGGTAGTATGTGCATGCATTTAAATAAAGCAGGTAACGAAATAACTGTTTTGGAAAGAATATCGTGCAAATTTAGTGACGAGCATATAAATATATAAAAACAAATATTTACTCCAGAGCCGACTTGATCCATCAGTTGCATAGCCTAAGAAAATGGGCGAAGATAAAATGGAAGTTGAAGAATAAGTACAGTAGTGAAAAATGTAAAAAGGAATGTAAAGTTACAACAAATAAATAACAGCGGAAGTTACCTGTTTAAGGTGATTTTTGAGAATTGTGGATTCAGGTTCTGGCAAAGAAGGTATTTCCATGCTAGACCCAACATTAGACAACTTATTTGAATCTAAATCCACCACCCAAATGTCTTCGGGCAATCTACAAATAGATACAAGATCGATCAAATTTGGAAGGTCGTTCTTGGATGAATAAGCAAATTTATATAATATACATATTTCAAACATCAGCAAAACCAAAATGAAAAATATTTGTACCTGAAATTCTTTTTGTACATCAAAAAAGTAGCGGGTAGTCCAATTACATACGGAGTTGGAGCCAAGAGCAGCTAAGGCAATGGAATGTTAAATTAAAAGTTAAAAAACAAAGAAGAAATGTTACCTGTTCAGCATAACTCATACAAGTTGGTAGTAGTGGTATTACAGGAAACATATATTCTAAGGGATAGATCATCGTAACAAAGGCCATCACAGACATTGAAAGGGCATTGTAATCCCTTGATTGCAGAATTACCTTATACTCCAATAAAATAAGAGTTAGCACCTTAAGGCAAGTTTCGACACCTGAAATAGTTTTAATAATATTTTTTGTTGCTTCTCGTTGTATGTAAACGTACCTAAAAGCTCTAAGGGTAAATGCAATGGAAAATCTACAAGACTAAATCGAGTATGATCGGGTAAGGCAAAACACAGGGGTTCCTGGATATTTGAAGAAATTATTTCAACTTCCACCCTAGAAAAAGGCGACATTGAAATTTTTAAGTTTTGGTCTGAAGAACGCGTTTTTGAAACCTTACTTAGTTTTTCCCGGAATTGGAACTGGAGCTGAAAGCAGTCTGAGTATCCAAGTTTCTATCTCTCTAACATCGTGTAGTATTATCGAAGGGGTGGTGTCAGTAGCTTGTCCCGTTAAAACACTCCAAACAGTATCCCTAAGTACATATAAGTACATAATTCCTGTATCTTACTTAATTATCCTTTAACAGCACATACCGTCCTGCTTGCCTACTGGCTCCTACTCGTTTTGAACTAGAAGATTCATTACAGGCATCTATTATTTTTCTCAGTACGTATAAGCATTCTCGAAACATCGAAAAGAACGGATGATGTGATAACAAGCAAAGGGATGTTAGGGAATTATTTCGAACTTTCTGTAAATAGACATTGAAACCATTAACAATATAAAAATTAGTACTATTTTATTAATTAGGTGTTTAAATAATTACGAATGCAGAATTTTTCACAATAAGTTCACTGAGGAAGTTTTAGATTTTGTTAACAATTCATTAACTATAAAGATGTACATAAAATCTTCCAGTAATATCCTTTTTTAATGTTTAAATTCGATATAAAGCGAGTTTATGTTAGTTTTGGTGGATGTACTGGGTTAAGTGCAAAGTAATTGTACTTTAAAGAACAATATTTGGTGGTTAATTTCTGAGTAAAATTTGTATTCACAATTTTATTAGAATCTATTAAATTTAGATAACATTCATAGTTCATTCATTCCTAAAATATAATTCTCTTCGAAGCACGTCAAAAATGAATTCATTCACATTTAAACAACAACGAACTCTTCTTACTTGTCTTCGTCTGCTGGCTCTTGGTGATGGCGAATGACTACCGCCACTTTCTGAATCATTAGGAATCGGAGTGATTCCTAATCTAACGCACGACTGTGTCGTATTTGGTACAGGCTGCCCAACAGCATCTGAATCTCTCCGACTCGGAAAATCTCTTTCTGAATCACTGGGACCAATATTGCTACTTCTATAATCACTAAAATAAATTTACTCAACAGTTCCAAAAGGATACGGACAGATTAGATATTATTTGAAAAATATTGTCAATTCAACATCTTTTCGTATCAAATTATTATAAAATACTTAATGCACATGTAATGTTATTGTAAGTGGCTAAGTGTCTAAAAATTCCTTTAAAAGGTAGCTAGTGTAAAGGTCATTGAAAATCTTTACCTTGAAAACGCGGAATCTGAACTTTTCTCCATACTTTTCCTCCACGAATCTCGCCGTAAATACGAATTACCTCGACCCCCTCCACCTCCCGCTGAAGTTTTTTCGACTGGCCTGTAAAAATTGACGCATATTCCATACCGAGTTTTTCCGGAATCTTTGTCAGTTAAAGCGAACACGAAAGACTGGGCTTCCCGTAGGGCACTCCTTTTTGGACCAACCGTTGAACAACCCTCCGGTTGGCAAAAGTAAACCATGTCCAGAGGCATGGGAAAATCTTTGTGATCTTGCACTGGGTAGCGCCGCAGGAGTTCCGGAGCCTAAATATTATTTATATAGAACGATCAACGTATAAGTTGTTAATTCTAGAAATTATTAGTTAATTTAGAACATTATTTCTTTTATGTGCTTCAAAATAATTGCCGAAATGTCCTGCATATATATAAATTGTTCCCTAATTTAAATTTTCGATATAATCCTTAAAATTTCCAAATTAATATGACTAAAGGCGATATGGAAAATGCCAGGTTTCGTTCAAGAAATCTATAGTGAAATAGGTATAAAAATTCTTTAAACTTGTACCATCTTTTTATATTGAATTGAAATAATTTAAATTTTCGATTTGAATTGAGCTTAAAAACTTTACATCACAGTGATGCTCAGGGGTTTTCGTAAGGTGAAATTTTATTGGGATTAAGAATGAAGTATTTACTTGTACAGAAGTGCTGGAGCTAGATTTTGTATTGTTGCAAGACTTGACACCAACAATTGTTAAGTAGTCGATGAGTCGTGGGCAAAGAAATTGGCGTTCGCTCTCTGACGACATGATAGAAATTTAATTGGTCATCTATTTATAGTCTTGACACTTTTTTCTTGATGAAGATAATCACTGCAGAGACTATTTCTGTTGATGATGAATTTATTCATGGTAGATTAGAGAAGTGCCTGCAACGAATAAAAACCATAAAGAGAAAAGGACAAAGTTTAAATGAAGAAAAACAGCTGCATTTTCCATGTAGATAGATGCTTAAAAACTTCGTCAATTCTTCCAGAGAAGTTGATATGGAGCAATAATTAAATCAAGCATGCATATTTAAATTTTAATTCAGGAACTTGTACTGAACAAGTTTGTTAAGTTGAAGTACGCTTTATTAATGAGATTAATTATTTATCAAGATTAGTGCACCGTAATGTTCACATAAAATTAGCAAATTCCCCAAAATCTACAAGCTGTATCTCAATGTTAATCAGTTTAGCGAGCGGTGAAACTTGGATTAATAAATCCCTTCTACTCTGTAAATTGCTAAACAGATATCCAGACAATATTCATATTTAATTAAGCTAGCTAATGATAATTTATTGGATGTAAATTAGAATGTAACATTTGATTAGAAATAGCGAGCATAATTAAACTTCTTGTGAAATACTGATACCTCAACTAGTTTTTGCTGAAAATTGATACTTGTCACTTCATTAATGACATATATAGCAAAATAAAAAACAAACGTTTATTTCTAAATATTTTTTTAACAGTTTCTACTATCAAAATTTTTGGAAAGTTTTCTTATCATATAAAGATATTCTAAATATCAACAAGTCTTTTAGCACAAAATGCCAATTGATTGGCAACAATAAAATTCAAACTGAACTATGTCCAAGGAGAATAGCGAGCAACAAACCGTTAAAATTGGGAATTATAGTGCCAAGTCTAAAAAGCAAAGTAGAGGAAATACAGAAACAAACCAGAAAAGAACAACGTCAATTTGTCAACCATGTTCGTCATCCTGTTATCTGAACGAAGTTAAAGGTGATATTACCGTCAAATCATCGTCGTCTGAAATGGGTAAAAACACTAATCGTAAGTCTAAAACGTATGGTAGAACGCCATCAAGAAAATTAAGAAGAGGACGAAAGCCGATCCATAAAACTGGAAGTTGGGGTTCATTAAATTCATTAAGCACAGATGACAGTGATAAAAAAAGCAAAAGATTTAGAACGAGATGGTGGGACCAGAATGCCAGAAACAAAAGGCCTAAATTTTCAAGCCAATCAAAATCGTACCAAAACAGGAAGAGTAAATACCAACGTGCATCCGAAACCAGTACCAGTGATACTGATGTTACCCGTTATTGTTGTAAATGTGGAAAAGTAGTTACAAAACGCTGCAAATCCAAAGAGACGACATATTCTAGCAGTTCTGACGATGAGAGGAGTAGAAGTAGCCGATCTTGCAGATACAAGTCCTGCAAAAAAAGATACTCCACCAAAAGTGGTACATGTAAAAAAGGCAGACGTCGAAGATATTACGAAAATGTTTGTTTACGGAAACCAACCCGCAGAAGATCCACTTACAGGTCATACAGTAGCAGCAGTGACGAGTGAAGTTTTTTGTTGTTATGTGAAGATCTATCGTCAATGAAGGAAAAAGTAAATGTGTGTGATTTGCAATGATATTACCATTCTTAAAATGTACAAAGTGCTGTACATGACGTGATTGTTTGTTGTGAAACTCGTAATTGTTTTAATTAAATGATCCTCAGTTATTGTTTCTGCGATCATTTTATTTCTGCTAAGCGCTTTAATTAATATTGCCATTTAAATACCACGTAGCTTTTGAAGGAAATTTTAAAAGGCCTAAGTTAGAATTGCCAACACTATTAAAAATAATTTTCTTTAGTTTTATACCAAAAATGGACCAACTTTGGTTTTTGAACGTCTTCATGTAGGCCCAAATTGACAATTATCACTTATACATCAAAGAGAGCATTGATTGATAGATTTGATATCATTTTCTTGTAAGATACGATCAGATACCATTGAGTCATTTGACTGTGGAATCGTCCAATTATTCTATCACCCTGTAGCTTTTGTGTAAATGGAAAAGAAGTGCAAAGTAGATTCCTTTTGTGGCTAGAAGTATATGTAAATACTAAAATAATTCATACACGATATGAGTATTAAAAATATCATAGGACAAAAATAATGTCTCTGGCATTTATAGTCCCAAAGAAAAAAGTTCACAGACTTATTACACAAGTATCTTAGGCGTATTGAAAATACCAGACAGCTCTTCAAGAATTTCAATTGATCATTAGAATTATCCGTAAAATAAAATAAAGTTATGTAATATAATTGTGATAATGTTAAACTGCCGAAACAAAATAATTTCGGAGAGTTAAAATCATTAATGATTCCGGGAAAACTTTTATTATAATTTCTTATTTGCTATTTAGTAAAAGTTTGATTTATCAGTCAGGTTGTTAACAAAAGTACATATTTCGCTGCTCTTTGGATAATAAATAAGAAAATATAATGAAATATATCAAATTCTTTACAATCAATTCTATCAACAATTCTCATCCTCTCTGCAAATAATTGATTGGCATTAACAATTAGCTAATAGCAAATGCGAAGGGGAATTAAAGTAAATGACAAGGCTACACAAGAGAAACGATAAAATTGCCAATAAAGTGGCAAATCGATATGGTTGAAGTTGACAAGAGAGTAAAAATGTTGGCATAAGAACTTTAGAATTCGATTAAACTTCTACGAAAGATCAAATACGCAGTTAAGGAAAACGCCCTTTATACGGGAGATGTCGGAAGTGAAAGGTTACTGATTCCAGCAAGTTGCAAGTAGCTTGTTTAAAGACTTTAACATTTTTAGAACCCAGTTTTATTGAAAATTTTATCCAGACTAGAAGTTGTAAATGACATGGATGGGGTCCACACAAGATAACCTCATTAGGACCCTAACTGTCCCCCTGTCAAAATTTTAGTCAAGATTTATATACATTAATAATATAAAAAATTATATAAATAGAAATGTTTAAAAAAGCTTACAAAGATAAGCTAAGTGCAATTATGAATATGAATATTATTAGTGTATAATCCTTAGCTAAATAACTTATAGAAGCTTGAATGAACAGTAAGAATTTCAATTGTTAAGAGTATTTACCCTATTACGAAATGTCCATGTCGTTAGTTTTTGAGTTTTAGTTCTTTTGCCTACAATTAAACACACTATAACACTAATCGTAATTATATAATACTCAACCTTTTAGGACATACAGGAAGCACTTACTGTTAACAATCGGTTTGCGCGCATATTAGAGAACGGAAGTTTTTATCTAGGACTGTTTTAAATTGCATAAACATTACTAATTATTCAAAGTTAGTAATGTACAGACTGTTTTACATATCTAACTATATGCTACTTAAAAACATTGTGGGGTTAACGACAAAAAGAGAACGCTATAATAAATTCTTGTCTAAATAATTTTCAATATAAGGGGTCATCAATATAATACGTCACTAAGAATTTCACCTTTTTCTTTTGGGCCCCCTCCATTTTCGTCACACTTTCAGCGACCCCCCTAACAAACATTACGTCACAAAAGCTAGTCCCCACCCTATAAGCGATTTCTTGTGCCTAAAAATTTCAATGAGAATTACTTTCTATCGTACCTAATGAAAAATTTTAAGAACTGCCAGGTTAAGAAAAACGTTAAAATAAAATTGATAAACTGATAGACCCCCTATCCCTTGTCAAATCTCGTCATACTTAGCAATACGCCTCTCTCCCCTTTATTTGCGAACGTATTTTATAGACAACCCCTAAGCACAATCTAAGATAGTTAAATTAATTTTATAAGTAGTCAGAGGCCACAATTATAAAGCAATTGTGATAATATTTCATCACTATTTGGTAGAATCTTGGAAATATTTAAACATTTTGTTACTCAAGGCTTGAAAATAATACCGACTGATGCAACGTATTGTGAAGTAAAACAAAGGGTAAGACGTTTCAAGCAATTGTGGCTAGACAAATGTTTTGTATTAATATAAGGTCAGTTTTGGGTAAAGGAAGGGTAGGATGGCAGCTAGGAAGCGCCAAAATTTAGAAAAATATGGTTAAAGGCCGTCGTCGGTTGCAAATTCCTTTAACCAAAACTGACATTGTATACATAAGTATCAATCTATCTTCAAAGTTTGGTTACAAAATATTGGAGGGACCACGGTCATCCAGATGGTACAGGGTTACACTCCCACGATACATGTAATGCTAGAGAAAAATAACCTTCTCCAACTTTACAAAAATTGTACACATCGATTTCTGAGATATTCTACCACACCTAGAACGTCACCATGAGCCATCGATTTTAAGCACACGACCATCAATTTAGCTCACTTCGAATCTTCGCCTAGTCATAATTTCTTATGACTGAATAAAATCGTAAATAATTCAAGATAAATTGTATAAGCAACCTAAAGTAGAGGAAACTGTGGTAATCAAATAAATGAATTCACTACAGCAAAATTTACTGAGCGGGCACGTGTTTCGCCGACATCAATGGAAACTTCCCTTTGACAATGCCCACATGATAGGTGGGCGAAACACGAGTCTTAGAAAAGGTCATTATTAGAACGATAAAATGTTACAAATGTTTCTTTTATATCTGCTGATAGTGGTTAAATATACTGTGTAAGATGTCTTGCAATGTCGGCATAAGTGCATACAATCCAACTACCATTTTTGCATGTGTTTTAATGGAATTACAGGGATGCTCCTCGGATAAGAATATATCACGAGGAAACATTACAAAATGTGGCGAAACTTTCGAGAATATTCTGAAACTCCCGAATTTTCGATAATATTTTGGAAAATCTAGATTTTTTTCAGATTCTTTCTAATGCATTCTTCGATACAGTTCTTCAGTTAGTCTATTCTGAATCATTTTGAAACATTTTTAGACTTATAAATATATGTAGGCTTTCACGGCCGACGTTTGTTGTAGAAAATGTGATCAGGCTTTCTGGTCTTTGCGGCAGGCATTCTCAAGAATTACGAAGCGGAAGATACAATTTACGTACGCGACGACCACTTCATCACCCTTGAGAATGCCTACTGAAGTGCAGGCGAAACGTCGGGAAAGAATTTCCGTAGACAACGGCCAGAAAGCCCGATCACACTTTCTACAATTGTTTGACTTCTTATAAAAACGTGTTATATTAAGAAACCAAGGGCTATCTACCACTATACGTGCGAGTGAAGGGGTCAGTAGATAGCTATGGAAAAAATTGAGCGTACACACCCTTGACAACTAGCTTGATTTTTAAGTATCTTCATATATAAATATATTATTATTAGTCAAGTAGAAAACGATTAAGTTTTGATTCTAAAAAGAGACGGTGGTGATGAAGGTAATTAAAACTAAAAGGACTTACTCCAATTAACTACATTACTTTTAATTAACGCGAATGCATATTTTGCTGCTCGCAACGTACGTTATGTGAGCGTAACACGTGCCTACTTTAATTCAATGTGTTGTCTTAACTACATTGTATTAGTTTTTTTTGTGCATAAAACAAACAGTATTTCACAACGTGCCCCAGAAGAAAAATTAATATCGAGTTTCTTTTTTTATTAGACATGAACACACAAAATGAAAATTAGTTGCGAAAATTCTTAAAACGTAGGTGGCAGGAAAATAATTTTTTTTTGTTTCATCAGACGCTATGATGCCCCTGTACTTCGTTCTAGTATTAAAAGCATGTAATTACAAAAATTTCGTTTACTGCATAACTCCTACTTTCTTTTTTAATAAAAAAAATAGGTTACGTAAGTTATTTAATAACTTGTGAATGGTTTAATGAGCATGCTGTTTACTTCTAGCAAATTACACGACAATCAACGCCCACGAAAATCGAAATCTTGCATCACCCACGCTAAATTTTTATTTCAGCAAGGGTGAAACAGAGTTATATTGGCAAGCCAAGTATAAACCCTTTAATTTATTCACTCTTCTAGTTTGTAATTTTTTATTAGGTACTTAGAAGTTTTAAATATTTTATCACTTTCTTGTTTCCAAAAGGGGTTGAAGGATATTTTTTATTAAATTGTATTAAGTATATATACGTTTTCGAACAGTAAATCAAAAGATTGTTAAAATTTTTACATAAGGAATTGTTTTAAATTAAACAATTCTGGTATAAATAACTCTATTGATTACATAATGCTGCAAATAATAATCCTATTTTCTGTTTTTATCCTATAATACTATTGCAATATGTTCGAATCGAAAATCTTCAAAAATATAGACAAAAAGCACAATATTATAAAGCTTTTGAAATGTTCTTCAGCAATATTATTGATTACTCTAAAAAAAAGATTCTTGTTTCTGAAGTTTGAAACCAATACAATTAAAATATAGTAATAATGACATGAATAATGAATTTTTAACTATTTACCTTTACCTCATAATGTTTTAAACAACCTCCAAAAAAATATTAAAAGTATCGTCGTATATAATTATTTTCATAAAATGTACAGTGAAATAGAGAAAATCCTTGCAATTCACCATTTCATGTTACGGTTATAAATGTTATTAATAAAGAAATACTTTTTATTTAAAAATCATTTCGTCCAATTATTACGAAATTATTAAATCTGATTACCATACGCATTATGCTGCAGATTGCGTTTAAAATTAAAACAGAAAAATAGAATAATTAAATGCCATCAAGATTAAATGAGCAATTTAGCTAAATATCATGTATATTGACAATTACGTGTTTATGCAATTATTTTTAAAAGATATTCGGCCTACCTTCATTGATTGACATACATTCAAACGATCGATAAAGGACCGCAAGATAATGAAATTAACAATTCTATTGTAATAAACGCGATAATACTAATTATAGGAAAAAAATATTGAAGAATATTAATGAATGATGAATTAATTAATAAGAAAATATGTCTCCAAATTGACTTACATGTAAGGCTTCAGAATGAAGGTACTCTTTACAGGCACTTTTCCGGACTACGACGTCCGATATCGGCAGGATATGAGGGCGAGCATTATGCGCAGCGTCGCGACGTAGTCGACGTCAATATCTCGTATCATTGCCCTATTATGACGCTGTTTCAAAAAACACAACTTTCCACTTACACACACTCCATTGAGGAACTAAATAAATTTTCCGCAATTTAATTGGTTAAGAACCCCCTAGCTTTACTTCAATCATACTTACTACCCTTTTATTGTGTCCTTTGTATTATTATTTAAAGGGAATCAAAGTTTTTCAAATTTTATTCGATTTTACTTTCTTTCTACTTTCTACTTTATTCTAAATGTTTAATGATCACGTATCCTTTTACTAAAGTGAAATGAAATCTTAGACATGATATTTCGTATAACATTGCGACATTTTTTTTTAATTTAACTAATAAATTTTTAACTGCAATGCAAATTCAAAAATTTTATTTATTTAAGGAATTTTATCTTAAACTATATTCCTTTTATTTTATACTCACAAACAAAATAAATCATTTGTATCTTTTTATTGCAAAAATTCTGACCTTTCGCTGAAAAATTGTTAACGAAACGTCGATATTTTTATAATAAAAAAGTTTTTCATTCGGTAAGTTTAGAAAATTCGTAATTATTCACAATAAATCCGTTTTCAATTTACTTAACTTAAAATTATATCAAGTTTTACCAATTAAAATTTAAAATCTTGTTACTACTATCAGTGATTTTAATAGAATCACCCTGTATATTACGTACCCCTTCAATACGGCAACGTTAATTGGGTTGCCTATACATTTTTTTTATAATTGCAGTATTTACTTATATACATAGTATATTAAACTTTTTAAATTATATTTAATGAGTAAATGTTTTAATTAATCAATACAATTAAGAATTTCTGCAAAATGTATATCTCCTTATCAATAGCAATCCGATAGTGGTTGCTTAGTCGCAGGGACATTTACCATATATCAAATTAAAAATAAAAGCATGCAGAACGAGTGGTCACACGGCTCAAACGTGTATGACTATAACGCGGGCCATAAAAATTATGTACTTCTGTAAAATTTTTGCAGAGTATTTCGGGAGTATTGTCTATGTACGTCCTGAGTGATTTTTAATTGATAAAAATTACACGTGTTAATAAGTGCAGAAAATTCGAAAAAAAAAAGATTGTGGCACTGTACACGACCAAAAATGCGAAGTTAGAGTCGCATAGAGACGATCGGGAACCTCTGGCAATTTTTTAATTTACTAATTATGAATAAAACATATGTATTAATAGCATTAAGCCAAAAATTTTTATCAAACTCCTCATATAAAATTACAATAATAATAATCATTTGTAAGTATGTAATTATACAAATGTTAAGTGCAGATTTTACTGAGTCTTGTTTAAATCTTCTTGTGTTTTAATCTTCCAAGCTCCTACAAAATATCTGATCCAAATTAAAGCTAAATCTAATCCCATTTCGATCCAACTTAATACTGGTGTAACTTTAGATCCATCAATTTCAGTCCAATTTACTGCAACTTCATTAATGGGAATTTTCAAATATTCGGCGATCTTCAATAGTTCAACATCAAACGCCCTGTAACAAAATTAAAGAAAGTAATAAGATAGTTACAATAAACAATAATAATGCATCTTGTACCATCTCTCAATATGTAAATTTTCAAAGCATATCCTAGCTGCTTCCCTAGTAAACAATTTAAATCCACATTGAGTATCACGAATACCACGAACAGCAAACAACCAAACTAGGAAATGAAAACCATACATCAAAACTACCCTAAATAAACTTCTAGTTGCAACTGCTTCTTTTTCTAAATGTGCCCTTGAACCGACTACAATTGCCATTTTTGATGAAACAGATCGGTAATCATTCAAATAATTTCCTAAAATCAAAAATTTTCTGGTTCAACAACAAATCCAAAAACAGTAATTCAAACCTTGTATTAAACTTTCCAGCGAGTCTTCTAGTTTAGCCAAATCACAAAACTTTGTTGCACCATCTGCATCTGCAAAGAGGATTACAGCACCTCTTGCACTCTGTACTCCCTAAAACAGAAAACTTATTTCATCTGTAGTTCTCCAAACTCACGCTTTGTGCTTTTTTTTACCAATCTTACTGCCCCACCTTTTCCTCTATTTTTCTCGAGCTCTAATGTCCTAAACTTATCTATTCCCAGTTTCTTACAATATTCATTAGCTACCTGCACAGTTTTATCTTTACTTCCATCACTTACAACAATAATTTCATACTTAAAAGTACCTGACTTTGATCTTAATTCTAAAAATTCCAGACACTCATCCAGCATAAGTCCCACTAAAGAAAAAAAATAGATTTTAACTTATTAATATCCTAATTTAAACAAGTACTTCAATAAATAGTTACTTAAAACAAAAATACTAAATTACATCTATCTTCTTCATTGTAAGCTGGAATTATTACACTTAAATGCACTGAAGGTTGATCATGAATTGAGGGGAACAATATGCTTTCAGAATTGACAGGGTTTATAAAGCACTTTTCTTTCCTAGACCGATAAACAATAGGATATGGTTTACAAACAGCCAACATCAAAACTATCACCTGTAATTACATTTTTTAGTATAATATATACACCTAATTTTACAAATATTGAACATACCGCTAATAATATAGAAAAGCAACAAGCTGTTCCATAAAACAGAATTAATTGCAAGTTCCACATCATTATCCAACTTTAAACAGTTACGTTTAGACTATCAACATATTCAAAAGGATACCTGATTAATCTTTTTTATTATCGGTGTATATCTAAATGTAATTATATTTCTTTAATCAGCGGAAAAAGCCTTTGCAAAAACTTCGCAAAAACAATTTAATTTAAGGTTACATGTCATAAAATATGTCACAATGACGTGGCTAAAGTTTGTGTTTCGAGTACCCAAGTACTACTACTTGGATAATGGTACTTAAAATATTAACCAAAATTATTTTTCAATGAATAACATAATAAGTATAAATTGCGTAGAATATCTAGTTAAAAAGGCAAAAGTAAGATCTCTTAAAAGGTGTGTTTACTCAAATGTATTAGAGAACATTGGAGATTATGTACGGCTGAATAATATTTCAATAGCATTGGTTTTTCTCTATGCTTTTTTGAAATTTGAAATGTTTGAATCAAATCAGGTTATGATCAATGAAAATAGTGCGCCAAAAATTGTGATATAAACTGAAAAAAAGCTGTGTTTGTTACCGTTGTNGATAATGGTACTTAAAATATTAACCAAAATTATTTTTCAATGAATAACATAATAAGTATAAATTGCGTAGAATATCTAGTTAAAAAGGCAAAAGTAAGATCTCTTAAAAGGTGTGTTTACTCAAATGTATTAGAGAACATTGGAGATTATGTACGGCTGAATAATATTTCAATAGCATTGGTTTTTCTCTATGCTTTTTTGAAATTTGAAATGTTTGAATCAAATCAGGTTATGATCAATGAAAATAGTGCGCCAAAAATTGTGATATAAACTGAAAAAAAGCTGTGTTTGTTACCGTTGTTTAGAATTAATAATGCCTTCATTTACTATTCGTGGAGTACCAGTTGAGTTTCCATTTGAACCTTACGAAATTCAAAAAAATTACATGGAAAAAGTTATTGAGTGCCTTCAAAATGAAACTACCGCAATTTTAGAATCTCCCACGGGTACTGGAAAGACTTTATCCTTACTATGCTCATCTTTAGCATGGTTAAATTTAAGAAAAGCACAAATCGAAGCTGCAAGTTTACAAGTTTATTCTGAGGAAAGTGACTTTTTGCAGCAAATAAATAAAAATATTAATCGAGGTGTAGGGGAGATGCCTCGCGAGTTGCTAGATATACCCACTATAATTTATGCTTCACGAACTCATTCTCAAATATCACAAGCTATGCAAGAACTTAAAAGATCTGCTTACAGACATGTGAAGGCTGTTGTTATAGGTTCAAGAGATCAGTTATGTATTCATCCAGAAGTTATAAAAGAAGAGTCACGAGATACAAAGGTTTTTGTAATTTATTCTAAATGTGGATTTAAATGAACGTAATTTTTATTATTACACAGATAAATATGTGTCAATTAAAAAAGAAAACGAGATCTTGCAATTATTACAACAGAGTGGATCATATGTTGAGAGACAGAGCTGTAATAGAAACTGATGTGGTTGATATAGAGGATTTACTTAAACTGGGTGAAAAGCATAAGTTTTGTCCATACTATATGTCCAGTAGCCTTAAAAAAACTGCTGACATAGTTTTTATGCCATATAATTACTTACTTGATCCACAAATTAGAGAAGGATTAGGTATAATTTTTTGTACATTATTGATTGATATTGCACTTATCTAATTTCATTTCCAAGATTTAACACTTAATGGTAGCATAATAATATTAGATGAAGCTCATAATGTTGAAAGAATTTGTGAGGATGTGGCCTCATTGCAAATTAAATCAACAGATATAACACTATGTATTGAAGAAGTTACTGAAGTAATGAAAAGCATGACAGAAGATCCTGTTTCATTTAATGATAATAATGTGCCTAAAGATTTTACACCTGATGAACTTTGTGTTCTTAAACAAATGTTTCTTGATTTTGAAAAAGCATTAGATGAAATTCAACTAAAAAATGGACCAGAAGGAACCACATTTGATGGTGTATTCATATTTGACTTGTTAGGAAAAGCAAATGTATACTACTAATAAATAACACATAAGCATGTAAAAATGATATATGTTTTTAGATTTCAGTTTCAAACTTTACTAACGTGATAAGTTTAATTGACAAAATTACTCAATTCTTAACTGCTGTTCAACAGGGTCCTTTTGGTAGAAAAGGCACAGGTTTAAACCATTTCAAAAATATGCTTAAAATAGTTTTTCTTGATAGAAGTCCAGAATGTAAAAATAGAGTCAATAAGTGCTACAAGGTATATATTTCTTATCTTACCTCTTGTTTAATTGCCTAGTTAATGATTGAATATTTAGGTTCACATTGAAACAGAAGACGTTAAGAAAAGGAATAGTAACAGTTCTTGGTTTGATAAGAAAGCAACTTCTTCAAAATCAGTGTGTAGGGTTTTAAATTATTGGTGTTTTAGTCCAGGTTTTGGGTAAGAATTCCTAAGATCTTGAGTTATTTTATGTTCATTCTTCATAATCAAATTCAAAAACAACTATCAAGTAAATCGTAAATTTGCCTTTGGTTAAATTGAATTTCATATTTTTGTAATATTTTGCGCGTAAAACATCAAGACATACTTAAATATCTTCATAAGCAACATAATTTGAAAACTAATGTTTAGCTTTCAAAACAGTGCTGAACAAATGAATCGTAGAACCATAAAAAAGTTTTTTTAAATTGATCAAAAACCTATTCTTCCTACTCTGAGTGATTATTAGTTACAACTTGATGTAGTATTCTAGGGTAAATTTACGATACTTACCTGACAATGGCCTTTTTGAAATTGGTAACATATCAATTTTAAATTTAAAAATTAATCTATTTTTAATTGTGTCTATATTTCTATATATTTTTTGCCAGAATGGACATGCTTATGTCACAAGGTGTCAGAAGTGTCGTTCTTACTAGTGGTACTCTGGCTCCTTTAAATCCTTTAATAACCGAATTACGTATTGATGTTAAAATCAAATTAGAAAATCCACATATAGTTGGGAATAATCAAGTATGTGTTCGGGTTCTTACAGCCGGTCCTGATTCCGAAAAACTCAACTCTTCATATCAAAATAGGTAGATTGTAGGAAAAAATAATCTCAATTTCACATGATAAATCAATTAACGAAAATTTCTAGAGATAATCCGAAATATGTGTCATCACTTGGTAGAACAATTTTAAATTTATGTCGTATCATTCCTGATGGTTTACTTATATTCTTTCCGTCTTATCCTTTGTTGCAAAAGTGCCAGAATCGATGGCAAGAAGAAGGAATCTGGAGCAATATTAGTCAAATTAAGGTACTTAAGAAGAGTATATATGTATTTGAGTTCTACATTCATTTGAGTATTCCCTTACTCCTAATTTCTTTTTCTTTTCCTTATTGTCCATTCCTTCTTCCAAATTATTCTGTAGAATATTCACTGATTATTTTTTCGTCTTTCAATTTGAATTCCAGTTAAGTTAGCTCCCACTACAAACGACAAGTGTTTTTGTTCTTGCGAAGTCTGCACATTTTGCTTTCTTTCGTTGCGACATGTACCACTACTTTCACATCTATTAGACCTTGCACTTAATTCCAATTTTCCCCTTTTCACTTCAGTTGATTTAAGATTTTCCGTCTATTCCGGTTTCACACCAACGATCCTTAAAATTTCTTTACATAATTCAGTCTTGTTTACCTTATTCTTATACAAGTCGAACTTTTGTAGCCAATATATGTAGAGCCAAGACAAAAAAATGCTTTCAACAACGTAATGAACGATTACTACTCAAAAATAAAAGATGTTACTTGCAGAGGAGCAATATTTATAGGAGTATGCCGAGGTAAAATTTCTGAAGGGCTGGATTTTGCAGATGTAAACGGCAGAGCCGTATTGATAGTAGGTCTACCTTTTCCTCCTATAAAAGATCCACGAGTTGTCCTAAAGAAAAGATATTTAGATCTTTGTAACGTAACCGATAAAGAAGTAAGACGAATGGGAATCAATGATGAAATACCAAATGATATTTCTTTTATTTTTTCGTTGTAGTTCTTAAAAGGTAACGAATGGTACAGTTTGGAAGCTATTAGGGCTGTTAATCAAGCAATGGGGCGAATTATTAGACATAGGTATGATTACGGGGCTATCATTTTACTAGATGAAAGATTCAAAGAATCGAGAATCCAATCTCAGTTATCTTTTTGGTTGAGAGATCGTATACAGACTGTTAATTTTGGGCAAATTTTTGGTGACTTGCGACGATTTTTTATTAATGCTAAAGAGATGGTAAGAAGTCAGAAAAAGCAAATATGATAAAAGCAGTTAGAAGATTTTTTCCTTTTATCAATTTTAGTTCCCCATTTCTTCAGAAAAAAATAGTAGAGTGCAGTATGACGATTCAAGTAATTGTAATAAGTGGATAGGTGGTAACACAGGAAAATTCGACTTCAGCACCAGCACTAATTGTGGTTTTGATAAATCCAGCATTTCTTCCTCTAGTTTAGTTACTATTCATAAAAAAACAGATTCTGAGGTAAATAATCCCCCAAAAAGAAAAAAAATTGTTCTTGTTCATTCTGTTCAAGACGACTCAGAAAATAAAAGGGAAGCAGATTACAAAGATTATATTACTCTTGTAAGTACATACATGTGTACTTAATTTTCTGACTATTTGAAGTTTACGTTTTTATTCTTAGGCAAGAACTCATCTAAAGTCTCAAGAGTTTAAAGATTTTCTAAATGCTCTTAGCAATTATGGTAACCATTATGATATAAATGAATTAACTCGGGAATTAGATAAAATATTTCTTAATAATTACAATAATCTGGC